AACCCAATTCATATTTTTGAGACAATGTGAATAGTATTTCATCCTTCTTTTGTATATCTAGCTATACACTTAAAAGGGATATTCAACAGTTATCTTTTGGATAAGATTAGTGCTTTTCTGTGTTTCTTTCTTAAAGATACATTCAATTTGGACATTACAGTTATAAGGCTTATTTCTTGTACAATAATTGCTTATTGCATTAGAAAAAAATTTTATAATTCATTGAACAAAGACTTCATTAGCCATCTTCTGGCAAATTTAGATCAATACGCACAAATTTGTGGGTGCAAGGCTTCTTGCTTATTAATTTTTGTCACATATTCTGTGTTCATAGCTCAGATTGTTCATCATAAAACAGGTGTTCTCTGGAAAAGTCGGTTTGATACTAAAATTGCTTATTTATTAATTTGCCAGCACTAGATCTAAAGCTTTATTCATCAAAGAAAAAGGAAAAAAAGAGAAATACATGAACTTAGGCCATGAAGAGATGAACTTAGGAGGTGCATATCATAGCATTTCCCATCCGTGTTTCAAAGCCCTTATTTTAGGTTTCGATGTGTTTCAGGAAATATCATGTGTTGATATGGCAGGGTTATCAATTCATCCAACTGCAGTCTCAGCACGGTAGTCCACAATTTTGGTTTACAGATTTTGCAATGCAACACAGCTGAACTCAAAAAGGAAAAGGAAAAGGGAAAAAAAGAAAGGGCAGATTATATCAAACATCAAAAATGTGTTGACGTCAGCATGAAGATCTCCTTTCATGGTTTATCTTGATCCATTTCCTGCACTAATAGCCTCATTCATTTGCCCTGTTCTCAAACATGAGACTGGTTTCATTGTTCAGGCTCGAGGAGGAAGTCATCAAAGCAGTGATAGGGGTGATTTCAGTTGCCATGTTAGAACTTACGAAGAAATTTGGGTGAGCTTTGCCTATGTCAAATGGGCCATCTAAAATTCAGCTCTTGTTTAACCATGGAGAGAATGAAGCCAACTCACCAGTGTGATGTTTACATTACAATGCTGTACATAATGAAGCCTAACGTGTGATGTTTCTGTGGGAATCATCATGCATGATGCTGGTGAAAGTGAGACATTTGATGACTGAATAAAAATAAAATGCATATCATTAATGGCATTGTTCTACCTGTTATTTAGAATTTGGATGATTAGGGTTGGGATCATGGAAATAATCCTCAGTTATTTGTCGATGATACCTCAATTATCATAATTCTCCATGTCAAGAAAAAAATCCCAGAAAAACTGCCTTCACTACAAACTCCAAATATTATGAACATAACATAGTTTCCACATAATTTTTATTTATTTATTATGCTCAATCAAAGAGTTCGATTCTATTGATTTTTTACATATCTATCCCTTTATGTACATAAAGAAATCAAAAACAAAAGTAGCACATCATATTCTTCCTCTTTTTCATTTCATTCATATGTACATAAAGAAATCAAAAACAAAAGTGGATTCTTCCTCTATTTTATTCCTTTGAAAGAGTCTGATGGTGCCACTGCTTGAGCTTGACATTCGAGCATGACAGAACCTGGTTCCGTTCCTATGCAGCTGCCCTTGATTCTTTGAGTCGCCACAGACAAACAAGTCTCCGTCTTGATGCGTTGTGTTCCAAGAACAATGTGGCACACAAATAGGTAACTCGATGACTCATTAGGTTGCTGATGTTGATTACACTTAATACCAGTCAAGCAGTGGAAAGCAACTCCATCGGGAATATTCTGGCTTGTTGTCGGGGCCCAAGTTGGACCATGAACTGTTCCAAGCAACTCTTACGTGTGATTCGTGAATGTTCAAGTGCAGATATTTCAACTCTTGTGAATGACCAGTATTCGAATCATTGGAATCAGTTCATCTGGAATTGAGTGTATCAGTAGAAACCTCATGCATTGAATTATTCTTGTGTTTTTACTGCATATATTTTGTTTTCTTAGACCTTACATTATTCTTGTCTTTACGAGGCTTTCCACTTGCGAGAACGACACTACCAGCACTGATTCTTGCAGGCCCGCTGTGACCATCAGCGTCACAGTAGCTTGTTGGAAAGAAAACGTCGCCTCTGATAGCTGCCTTTGTTGTCGGCATCGTCTTCCCAGAGAAAGACGTGTTTTCTGAGCCTGATGGGTTGTGAAAACCAGTACGTGTCATCCGATTCTGATCACTTTTCCTTAGTCGTGACTCTATCGGCTAGCAAACAAGACTGGCCACATGTTGCATCAACAACTTCACGGCTTTCACGCAAACTCTTCAGGGATTGAGAGAACTGCATGGAGGAGAAGAGAGGAGAAAACCAAAATTTTCTGTTGGAAGTAAACATCAGTAGAGGAACTGACAGAAGACTGGGGAGGGGGGAAAGGAAAGGTGCTTTTTGAGTGCCTCTTTCCTTTTCTTAATCCAAACAAGACAACAGTTTTTTCTTTTTCTCTCTCATTTTTATCTATTGAAATAAGAACCGATTTTATTATCCTCGTCATATGATGCTTGGAGAAGGATTGTAATTTTGTGTTGGTCTTTTGCACTCCAAACTTAACTAAAGTTGATTACTTGGGAAAGGAAAGATTACAGAGTCAAGAATGAGCACCATTCACCTCTAATTTGGCATCTTCACATCAAGACTGGGATCTCAATAGAATCTTTAATTGGATTTGACTGTTTGGAAAATGTTCACAGATGGAAAACCTGCAGAATATTAACATCTTGAACTTGAAAAAAGAGAGCTTATTATTCTACAAAGTAAACTGAGTGATTATAATCTAGATTCTTGTACCTGAAGTTAGATACTGTTTCCAGCTAGTCCTGCACATGTTCATATCTTTGTATACTAACAGTGCCAATATTAAATTATAGATTCTGCTATTCTGTATGCTCCAAAACAAAAGATTGACACATTCCCGGCAACTCAAAACAAACGAAAGGTAGAATGTGCATGTGAATGACCTCATCAATCATTGAATACACTGTGAGTTGTTCCTGACTTGAACAGTTGTCTTACTAAGATGAACATGGACAGTACATAGATTTATAGCTTCTGAGGTGTTTATTCCCTGTTTTTTCTGCATGTTTGGTTTGCTTATATACAACGCATTGTGGCAAGAAATTGTCCGCAGAAGACATCATGTTAATTGTGTTCATTCTGCTGAAACTGTTGATCACCATCTACAATATCTCAGATTGGCTGGGAGCAATCATCTGACCTTTGTTGGCAAACCAACTTCTACCAGGAAAGAATGATCTAAGGGGGTTGAGGGATTGAAAGGAGAGGGAGAGAGAAACATGATATGTCATCATTGCTGCCAGTATGTTCCTATCATGAAGCAACAAGGAATTCATGGAAGTAAATGGAGTTTTCATAACACAATCTCCAGCATAAAAATTTATTATTCTCAAAATAAAACAACCACAGAAATTATTCCTTTTATTTTGAGTTCTTCCCCTTGAGTCTCAATAGACTATTTATTACAGCTATGATTCTGATGATCCTAAATGAGTTACTCTGAAATCCATAGGATCCACAATATTCAGAAATATTAATCCCTCAGGAAGTTCTTCCTGTGCTTTGTTCCACCAAAAGCAGTACCTGAGAGACCATGGCATCTCATTGACACCTGAGAATATAATTATGCAAGCTGCTACTGTCATCTTTACTTAGCCCCAAAGAGAAAATAAATAACAAGTAAATAAATATGTGAGTTGAATAAACAAATAGTCAAGGATGATTATGAATCAAATAATTTACTTCCATTTGTTTCTTCCTTCAAGAATGTTTTGTTGAGGTGGCAACTCCAAAACCAACCATTATTACAACACCATATTATGCATTTTTAGGATGGAAACTATATGAGGCATCACAAACAGATTGCTCTTGTAAAATGACACAGCTTTAGGTTGAGAAACTCAAACTTCAATCCAACACATCCTAGTTAGTAGAAAATAGATGAAACAGCATAAACAGATTATGTTTGACTAGGTGAAATATATTTTTTGGCAGAAAAGTTAAACACCATTTGTTCTAAGGTTGATTCAACCTCATTCTAGCCATTGTACACAAAACATAATAAGCCATAAAATAACTACAAACAGCATGAAGATTGATGTTTTTGTTTGTTGTAACTGGCATACATAACTAGTTTTGAATGATTAGAGGTAGAACAGTTCATTTGATGCCACAACATTGATATCTGATACTGTGAATGAGCCATGTTAAATGCCTTTCTCTGTCTCATTCATGAAAGTAAATTTGCTGCAGCATAATTTTAAGAATATTTTCTCACTCATCAGAAAAGTCAGGCCATCAAGGAGAACAATAAACACCCTAATTTCCTAGGAACTTTCTCCTTCACATCACTTTCCTGTCTCATGTGACCAATGTACTCTCCCAGGTCACACAGTCCACCATAATTTTCTTGTCCCCGTCCCTAATTTCTCATTATTTTGGCTTTCAATAGACAACAAGGATCAATAATGAAGGTACTCACAAATTTCATCTTATCTTATCTGAACTTCTAACTCAGCATCCATTTTTTGGAGATTGACCTCAAAACATTGCTTCCAAGGATAAAAAATTTATATCATAATTAATATATTAAAATTTTGTTCTATAATATTTTAGATTTATCAATTATTGGTAAGTGGATTCAGTATACGATCATCAAAATGCCACAAATTATTCTGAATTTATCTCAAATTCAACTTTAGTCGATAGGAATCCTAATCTGCCTTCAACCTTCAACCTTAATCTCCACTCTTATCGAAGCTTCCTAATCCGACCATCAAAATAAACCCGGTCCGATTGCGAACTCGAGTTATGCCCGGTTTGGTGCAGGGTCTAATTGTTAATTACTAAAATATAGGGCCTATTTAGTAAGTTTATCACATACAAATTATGAGGACCGAAGAGAAAAAATATTAAATGTCAGGGGGCTCTTTTGTAGTTTGCCATCCCCATGCCTCCTCACAAACCGCCTTCTATATGTTGGTGTGGGTGAGCGGCATCGGAGGAGTCGCAGCGATCGATCGTTTGTTGGATTTCTGAGGGCGAGAGGGAGAGAAGTGCGAGTCTAAGACGTTCTCGGACTGTGCAGATCTGTGGGAGGGGGCCTGACGGAGAACGGGTAAGATGCAAGGAATCGTGAATTTTGTGGGGTTTTATGGTTCTATGATCCCAGGAGTGAGGGAGAAAAAGATGAGGTCTTCCGTAGGTCTTTGAAGTTTTAGGGTAGATTGTTGTGTTTGTCTTTGAGAAAAATGAATGCTTTGTGATCACCAGAAGATCTCGATGCTTTGATGGGACAGAAACAGGGTTCGATCTTCTTGTTGTGGTAGTATTTGTCGTGTGTATGTTCTTTCTGGGAAACGGTGTTGATCTTATTGCCTTCGTGTCGTAATCCTTATGTTATAAGAGATAAATTGCATCTGGTTCTTTCCAGGAAAGTATACGCTTTTTATTTTGATTGGGGTCGGGTTTCTTAGAAACCTTGATTTTGTAATTAATCTTTTGGTATTAGTATCTTCCTATTTTAACGAGTCGCATTAAAACCATAAGCCTCCGTAATTTTTCTCCAATTATGTGCCTCCGGGGACGAAACTCGTCTAATTTCTTCTTGGCTGTTCTTAAAGCTTCATCAGGGATCTTGAACAAAGCTTGTTGAACATGGAGCGCTCTCTACTGGCGGTCATAACAGATGGTCAGAGTGGCAGTGGCGAATCCATCTTCGCGTCGATGAAATTTGCTGTTCTACCGATAGCCAAAGTTTTCACAATGTGCTTTCTGGGGTTTCTTATGGCCTCCAAGTGTGTCAACATACTTCCTGCAAATGGCCGCAAGCTTCTTAATGGGGTATGTGATCTTCTATAGCTGTATTGGGATCTTTGATATGGTAGAACACTTGCGTTGTGACTTATTTAAGAGCATCTTTGTAATTTGATATTATTGTTCTGCTTTGGGCTCTTGGCATCTGCAATAGCACTCACGACCCACAATTTACCATGAATACCTTCCAATTTGCTCTGAATCCATTGACACATAGGACATGTCACCCATAAGAACCTCTCACTTGTTTCATTTTCTTTCAATCAGGAAAATCTGATTATTATGGTATGAGGAAAATTTTGATTTTTCTTTAAATTGCTAGTTATATGCAGAAGATACTTTTAATAGTTCCAAAATGGTTTCTGTGATATGAAACACTGTTAACTTTGGCTTGAGAATGCTTGTCGTAACATATAACTGACTTTTGGTTTTAGTGAGTTCCGGAAGATATTGACATGTTTCCTTTGCTTCTCTGCTTGCTTGCTAAAAGTAATTAGTTATCTTTTAACCTTTTTAAACTCTATTTCTACAAATTTTAGTCTATAATACATGGTTTTATCTTAAAATTTAGTCTTAAAAAATTAGTTCTACATTGTTACTGGTGTCACCATCAACAGTTTTGGCTGTAAGAATGTTGTGATAGTATAGGACTCAGATAAGGGGTTCAAATTTCTAGGCAACAGTCATTTATAAAGAAAAGGGAAAAGTCTTGATCTCAGAGTAGGCCAAAAAGAAGGGGCTATGTATTTCTCATGTGGTGCTAACTACAAATTTTTGGCATCTTTATAATTTTTTTCATAGTTGTTGATAGCCTGGCAAAACTGTTGACTTATTGTTCCTAATACATGTTGCAGCTTGTCTTTTCCCTTCTCCTTCCTTGCCTAATATTCTCTCAACTTGGGCGTGCAATTACATGGCAGAAGTTGCTAGAGTGGTAAGATTTTTGATGATTTTCTCATAAAAAGTTTCCTTTTCTAGTTTGAATTTGTTTTTCTTATAAAACTTTGTGTGTATTAACTTTTGTTTCTTCCAAATCATTAACTGCTTTACTGATTGGATTATTTTTTATGGTACATGATGGATAGTGCTTTGTTGTTTATGATATTTTTGACAATACGTGATAGATACTCTAATGGTATCTCAAGTAACATCCATAACATCAAATCTATTTTTGCATGGCAAACTGCTTTACTGATTGGGTTATTTTTTATGGTACCTGATGGATAGTGCTTTGTTGTTTATGATATTCTTGACAATACGTGATAGGTACTCTAATGGTATCTCAACTCTCAAGTAACATCCATAACATCAAATCTATTTTTGCATGGCAAATATGTATTTTCCTGTTTAAGTGTAACCAGAAACAGTAGTATTAATGCTTAGCCAACATAATCTTTAAAGGAATTTCTTAGGATTCTTTGTGCTAGAATTTTGTGGTCCCAGTTTAATTGAAAATGTAGCAGAACTGGGCTGGTTTCTGGATTTTATGTGTTGGTTCAAAACTACTGTTTTCGCGTTTATCTTGTTTTTTTCTTGGCCATGAAGTTATGAAATCTATGGTTTTTCTTAGGAAAGGTTGTTGACTAGTTTCAATTGCAGGATGCCGCCCATGTTTTTTTGCTTTCTCATACCATTGATAAAGTAAAGGATATTTGCTCTGTTGCATTGCTAAATAGTAGTTCTATATTCGTATTTCAATCGAGTGAAAATATTGGTTAGCAACAAAGTGAGATACCAAATTTTACATCTGCAGGTGGTTTATTCCTGTTAACATCATTTTGGCAACCATATTAGGATCTCTTGTTGGTCTCCTTGTTGCTTCCATTGTTCGACCACCATATCCATACTTCAAGTTCACCGTTATACATGTCGGAATTGGTAAGTCATCTTTCCTTGATAATCATCACATGCCACTATTAGGTATTTCTTTTTCTAAGGTTTTATCTGTGTATGTTTATTGTCTGATATTGTTATTATTTTGAATGCATTGATGATAATACTCTGGTGATACACTTTTGTCTTTCTGCCTGATTATCATCTAGAAGTGGTAACTAGAAATTGAAAGTAAAGGCAATCTTAATGGTCTTTCTAGACATAATTAAAATCGTTATATTACTGATTTTTGGATTACACATTGTGCTAGCAACAATAACAACAAAGCCATAAGTTCTAACTATTTTGGGTCGACTACATTGATCTTTTGTCATTATTTAGTTTTGTAAAAAATCATATGTTTAGTTAAGCTCAGGGTATTTAAATCTTTATTTATAGTTTATGTTAAAATCTTTTTAGGTCTTTCTCTACCTCTCCTCGTATTATTAACATGAATCATTTAACCTCTTCTGACTATCGCATCCGACCTCCTAAGCATATGCCTATATCATTTTAAATGATTTTCTCTCATCTTATCCTCTATCGAAGAGATACATAGTTATTCATGAATATAAATATTTTTTTTCCTATCTTTCATAGGAACTCCACACATCTATCTTAATATTTTTATCTCGATAACCATAAGCTTTATATATATGTTATTTCTTAACCACTCAATACTCAGATCCATAAAATATTGTCGGTCTCACAACTGTTTTATAGAAATTTTCTTTTAATCTCAAAGGTATCTGATGATCACACAGGACTCCTAATGCCTCTCGCCATTTTAATCACCTTGTTTTTACGCTTTGAATAATATCTTCATCGATCTCTCCATCTTGTTGGATATTGATCCACAATACCTAAAACTTTTACTTAAAGGGATTTCTTGTTTATCCAACTTAACTATATTCTTCTGTCTATTTCTATAACATTAAAATTGCATTTTATATATCCAGTTTTAGTCCTACTTAATCTAAAACCTTTAGTTTCTAAGGCTTCCCTCCATAGCTCAAGTTTATAATTAATTTCATTTAAGCTTTTATTAACTAAGACAACGTTATTAGCAAATAATATACACCAGAGAGGTCTATTATATTAGTGATTAGTAAGTTCATCCATTATCAATGTGAAAATGTAAGGGCTTAATGCAGATCCTTGATGTAAACCTATACTAATAAGAAACTCACTAGACACACTCCTTATAGTTCTAACATTAGTAGCTACATAATCATACATATCTTTAATAATATCAATATAATTAGTGGATACATCTTTCTTTTCTAAAATCCACCATAATAAATCTCTAGGAATTATATCATAGATTGTCTCTAAGTAAATAAAAATCATATGCAAATATTTTTTTTCTCCCTATACTTTTTCATTAATTGTCTTAATAAATAAATAACTTCTATGATTGATCTTTCAAGCATAAAATCAAACTGATTTTCAAAGATTTGTTTCAAGCCTTATTCTACTTTACATAATTCTTTCTCAAAGTTTCGTAGTATGACTCATGATTTTAATTACTGATTTTAATATGTTTACTTACTGTGGATTATGAAGTCTTCCAACTTCATCATATCCTGGCAAATGTGCTTGGTACTGTTGGTTGTGTTGTATATGTATGTACAACATATGTATCAGTGTCTGTCCGTATATTTTGATGCCGGTACTTTATTGGATTGGTAAATACCAGTCAGTATGTTCCTGTCAGACCTGTATTTAAACCCTTGTTATGCTTTTCAGTACATGTACTCCTCCTAATAAATATTTTCAAGAGTTTAGATTAGAATCTAGTGCTTTGAAGAAGTGCAGGAGAGCACATGTTTAATCAAAATGTTTTAAATGTTCTATGAAGGAATTTTATAACTGACAGCATGTCCCATGTCTATCATACAAAGACTAGTAGCACGGGGAATAGAGGTGAGATAAGTAGAGAGATGAAAGCGGGTGAAACATGCACATATTCACACGTACCTCTTCACATGCAAGCCTTTGAGAAATTGATGCCTTATCTTGATGGTTTTAGTTACCTATTTTCTTGTTCTGGCATGGCTGCCAACTGAGACCAAAGGAGAAACTTTTCTTTATTGATCATTGAGAGGAGAAATGCTAATCATGAAAGAAACATCTATGAAATGCCTTCCATTTGTTTTGATAATTTGACTGGATATGGTAATTATCCTAGTCAATCTAAAGCAAAAAGGTATTCTTTTTGGCTTTTCTTACTTAATGGGGGTGGGTCTGGTTGCAATGTGGAATATTTCGATGATGTCTTTGTTATGGGCCAAAGACCATTCATGAAATTTACAACTGGAACTTATTAGCCAGTTTCTGTTGTAAAGGTTTAACTTACTTTGATCTTGTATACAGGAAACATTGGGAATATACCACTTGTTCTGATTGCAGCTTTATGTCGAGATAAATCAAATCCATTTGGTGACTCCGACAAATGTAGCCAGGATGGGAATGCTTATATTTCATTTGGTCAGTGGGTAAGTACAGTAGTCATTCTTGTTGCATGTTAGATGTTCTAGATGTTTGTTGTGCCACTTAAAACTCTTAAAGATAGACCTTTTTTTTGTCATTCTTGTTACAATCTCATGTATTCATGTTTCAGAAGACTTTGTGGTCATAGTAAATCTTACAATTTTGTTTTCTGCATGTGACAGGTTGGTGCAATAATTCTGTATACCTATGTGTTTCAGATGCTTGCACCACCGCCAGGTGAAACATTTGATGGGGCAGAAGAGGTGAAACTTCCAACTAAGATTTCTGTAAACAACTCTGCACCTGATCAAGTGCCCTTGCTGACTTCAAAAGATGCTGAGACCACTAGTCATGAATCTTTAAAACAGGGGCAAGTAAGGCAAATTTGAAATTTGTTTATATTATCTGGGCTACCTTGCTTGATACTAATTGTAGTGTTCCGGTTTGCATATTTCATTGTTTGGCATCAATTTAATTACTAATCTGTACCTGTAATTACATCTCCTGTTGAATTTTACTTTAAGCTGCATGATTGTTCTTTATTGATGGGTAACCTCAATTTGTGTTGTGACATTTAATTTTTAACTAAACACCATTCACATTTTTTAAACTTGTTAGTTCAAATTATTCTATCAATAACAATTTGGACTTATTTTGGAACTTCAAACTAAGATTCCTGTAAACAACTTTGCACCTGATCAAGTGCCCTTGCTGACTTCAAAAGATGCTGATACCACTAGTCATGAATCTTTAAAACAGGGGAAAGTAAGGGAAATTTGAAATTTGTTTATAATATCTGGGCTACCTTGCTTGATACTAATTGTAGTGTTCAGGTTTGCATATTTTATTGTTTGGCATCAATTTAATTACTAATCTGTACCTGTAATTACATCCTCCTGTTGAATTTTGTTTTAAGCAGCATGATTTGTTCTTTATTGATGGGTAACCTCAATTTGTGTTGTGACATTTAATTTTTAACTAAACACCATTCACATTTTTTAAACTTGGCAGTGAAAATTATTCTTTCAAGTTTCAATAACAATTCAGACTTATTTTGTCAAATGAAATGGTAAACAGCAGATTCTGGACTTGTTAATTTTGTTGTTCAAATAGTGGTTGCACTAATCAAAATTTTATTAGTGATTTTTCTTGAAACTAATCAGCTCTACTAGTACCAAAGATTTGCCCAACTTTGGCCCGCATATGAGGCCAACTCGAATAGTAGTATGTAGAATTTATCTTTTCTGATTTGTTTTGGTTCTTAGTTTGATTAGCAGTATTGGAGCACTAGTAGCTCTGTATACGTAGGTATGCTTTTAAACCTCTATGGCTATGCTTTGCTTCTTGTTTTCTCTCTTTTATGCTTAATAAAGTTAGATTAATTTAGTAATTAGTAGTAACCATAGTTGTAGCTTTTGGAGGTTTCTTCTTAAACATAGGGTAGAGAAGCACGCAACAATATTTTAAGTGAGGTTTTAAATATCAGATGGATTGTACAAGTTCAACCTTTTTTTAAGGTTTGACTGTGACTAGTGCTAAAATGAGACTGGCATTTGGAACCTTGACTTTAACAAGTTGTTCCTCTGATGTCTGGGTGATAGAATGACCATTTGAAGCTCTATATTTTCTCCATTTTTTATCCATGTTTAGTTGCACGGAGATGATCTACTTAAATGGAGACAACTGTATAATGTCTATATGTGCTGCCATAATTGGCAAGATGTCTCAGATGTTTTTTAGATTTCAAATGCTAATTGCTTACATGTGCTGAAATTTTGACTTGCATGGATGTGCTCTTTCCCAAGAACACACAAAGTAAGATCAAATTTGGTGTTTGATGCTAAAATTAGGTGCACACCATAAGCAATGTTTTTTTAGAATAATATGTAGATCAAGGATTTAAATTTGGTCCAATATCCTGTAATCAATTGGACTAGTTGGGTATTGGTATATCAGATTATCATGAATGATCGTCGTGCACTTGCAACACCTTCGTCAACAGACTGTTTGTCCTTATGTTTGCTTATACAGTCGTTTGACAGGATGTTTTGTATTGTTTTTATGTGTTTTTGCTTGGTTTCTATAAGCAAAAGCAGTTTACGAAGCTGCACAATGACCGCTCGCCAAATTAGGCAAAACTATTTGAAGCCCAGTTTTCATGTGCTGCTGCCAGTTTTCTATAAGCTGCAATGCGGTACGAAACATTAGCTATCCCAACACCCTAGAACCACCCAGGTGGCATAGGGCTGGTTGAGACTTTGGGGTAGTGTTGGGTTATGTTTGGATAACTATTTGCAGGCTTCCGATTGTTCTTTTGTCTTTGGAAGTCTTTGTTTTCACATTCCTCTCTTTTTTTTCTTTGCACACTAAATGTTTGCTAAATTGCTTATAAGCTGTGTTTTTTCCTTTTAACAAATGTTGGGACTTATTTGTTGCTTGTTTTCTAGAAATCTAATTAATACTTGTACGAGGTTGTTTCTAGGTTGACCCTTTGCAAACGAATATTGCAAGGGTGTCTCACAACTCAGATAATTCCAGCTAAGTCGTGATCCATACGGCCTTGTATTACCATAAAAGATTAATAAAACATGGTACCAACTGTATGGTTCCATTTGTACCGACCATTACAATTTAGATTTGATTCCTCGGTATAGGTAATGCTCATTGTAGTGTAGGCTTTTTAATTATGTGTGGTAGGGACCCAGCTTGACTCAGTCTTCCTCAGCCCTAAGACTTGGCCGAATGAGGATGGAGTCAACCTATTTTTGCCTTGCTGTGCCTGCTGAGGAGACAGCAGCAGGCTGCAGCAGTGTTGAATGCTTCTGATGCTAATCCTCTAAGTTGGAAAAGGAGAAGAGAAGGGGGAGGGAGACGGAGAACAATCACACATCTTCTTGTTGCTTGTTGCTGCATGCAGAGAGGTTTCACTTCCCATGTGCCTTCATGTGACTACTTGCTCATTAGAGTCATGGGATTATTGTTTCATTAATTCATGACCTACTCCCATCTGGTTTTTTTCTGTTTCTATTAAATTTTGGATATTGTTTTTTTATTTAGATGATTCATTTCATGAGTCTATTATTATTCTGCCTTGATAATAACAATATTTTTGAAGATATGTAGGCTTTTACTAAATTTCATACAGTATTTTTTTTAATACTTGCACTTTCAGCTTTGAGCACTTGGGTATGCTCGTAAATCCAGTTCTCATATGTCCATGCAAGACTTGCTGAACTCTACATATGTGTAAAATCAGGCATTATGGGATGACTATGCCATGTGTCATCTCACGGAGAATTTGTTTGTATTATATATAGCGCATTTTTGCTGTCAATCAATGCTAACTGACACACATGATAGGAGGCTCTCATTTGATTATTTAGCTCTCATCATTTCGGCCAGATGAATGTGAACTTGCCTTTATAAAGGCATAATAGAACATCTTAAATATTCTAGTGTCATTGAGATAGTAGAACAATGCCTGATGTTTGTGCTATGCTACAGGTGAAAATGCTAAAAATGCTAAGAATTCATTTTGTTTGGCTCTCAAATTATTCTTATTTGTGAAATTTAATCTTTAGGCACTTATTTTACTGGAGTGACTACTGGCTTTTTGTTTAACGCAGCTAATTGGCCACCTATGCCATCTTGTTGAGAAGCTGAAGATAAAGCAAGTGTTTCAGCCTCCAATTATTGCCTCGGTTAGTAGCCAATCTGAACTTGAAATGAAAGATTTGAATTTAATTTTGAAATTTGAAGCTTTGGCTTTTAAGAATCTGTCTTGTGGTCATTAGAAAGTCTGCTTGATCTTTCAATCTATATGATTAAGAAAGAAAGATGTTGGCCTGCCTTGTGTAGCTGACAATTTTTTCTTTTTAATATTATGAGTGGGGAAACAAGTGTTTTTGACATATTCCTCTTTGTTGCTTATGCAATTTTAGCTTAACTGAACAACCTCATAAAAGGCATGATTGCTTTGGCCATTCCCTAAACCTCTTATTCTGATAGTCTTGTTGATAATTTTCTTCCGGGAAACTAGAACATGATATCAAGACATACATGTGCTCAATAATATAAATAAATTACAAAGTCCTGGTTTAGATGGATATTATTTAATTTCTTCGAGTAGACATCATGGATGTTCTTCATTTTGCTTGTTTAACTGTTGTAGGTCAGAAGCTAGAAATTTCTTCACTTAATAGATATATATTTGGATCTTGTAAAATTATTGCTGTTGAAGTTTGCTTGTGGTTGTGACCTTCTTTGCATAATTGTGAACAAACTATGTTAATATACTCTGACATATTTTGACAATTGTGATTTATATTGTTTTCATAATTGTTGCAACTGAACAATGTCTATACATTGCAACAGATCTTGGCAATTGTCATCGGCGCTGTACCAGCCTTGAAGCACTTCATCCTAACAGATGATGCCCCGCTCTTCTTCTTCACCGACAGCTGCCTTATTCTTGGGTATTATTTGTTCTATTATGTGGGCTTTGTCTATGTCCTTTGTTGTTGCATTAAAGTTTGACACACTTCCTCAATTAATGGTATGATACAATGGTAAAGTTGTTCCTTTGCGACCTAGGAGACTAGGGTTTGAGTCACGGAAATAATCTTTTAAAATATTTAAAGGTAAGATTGCGTACATTAACTCTTCCTAGATCCCGCATTAGTGGGAGCCTCGTATAGTGGGTGCATCTCTTTTTACACTTTCTTGATTAAATGGGTCAAGGAAGAGCTTCACTAAATGCATAGGTATATTTGAAGATTACAAGTAGGATACAAGATTCAAAGAGAGAATCTACAGCCAAGCAACCATAGTCAAGTTCAAGCATAGTTCAGGAGTCTTTAACTATTGGACTTTTTCAGGAAATGTCAAGCTTTTAACTCTGGAAAGCTTTTAGAAGAATGTTAAGTTATTATATAGAAATCTCTGGTTATAGCATGGATTTAGAGAAAGTGATGGAATGCATTAGAAGAATGTTACATCAGTTTGTTGGTGTAAAATTTTGAAAGACAAGCTTATCGAAAATATCAAGCCTAATTGGATGTGTGGTAGTCGAGGACCGTATTAGTTGTTTTAACTTAACAAATATGACAGCTGTTTAGGCATTAATGTGCCTCTATGTTCATTGTATGATCGCAATTGAGTGTTCGTTTTGGAATTAAACAAGTTGTCTAAAACAAGTTGTGTTTAATTCTTGACCAATAGCTGTAGTTTCTTTTTATTTGTCTGACCATTTGTTGTTTAAGAACTTGTTGCTTTTGTAGTTAAAATGTATGACACTGATATTTAGCCCTTGAATCTCACTTTATTAATTGTGACTTTCAAAATATACATTGTTTTAGACTTCTTGGACTGATGCATATTTATCTCCAGGGAAGCAATGATTCCATGCATTTTGCTTGCTTTGGGTGGTAATCTTGTTGACGGTAAGTCCATTTACCATTTCTCAAGTAATATTTTCTTTGTCTTGTATAAATTCATATATAGTCATGTCTGGAGATTATGTCATTGTCAACTGGTAATGGGCATATGGACCTTATTGTTATCTCATGCACAGATTACCTGCTTTTCTGTGCATGCATATCCGAAGGCATGGTTTTGAATGTGTACAATGGATGTATGTGTAAATGGAATAGATGTATGTCATCCATATGTTTGTTTATCTGATGTCACTACATATTAAAATGAATGAGAAGTATATTTTTCTATGGGCTTTAACTTGGAAGCAAACATAAATAATCTACTGATCTATGTGAAAAAGCTAGTGGAGTAAACTTGCTTTTCTTTTTTGTCTTTAAGAAACCTAAAGAAATTAGTGAGCACAGCATACTAAGTAACAAATGGTATTGCATGTGCCACAGGCGTGATGAGTTGACTCTAGGCAAAAGATGATTAAGGGAATTCAGCCGATTATCACAATTAATTATTTGAAAATTAGAGTGTGTCTGGTTTGATCAGAAGTGATGAGACAAGCAAAAACACGTAGTTTGACAGATTGGTTGAGCATGGGTATAATAGTTTTGAGACTGTAAGATGATCCCTAAATACCATCTGATATACATTTGGTATAAATTTTATATGGATAAGCAATTTACAGGTAGGACTACGGTCCTCAAGTTTCAGAGCACCATAATGAGAAGTGTTTAAGATCAAATCATTCTGAATGAAACTAATAATGGTTTGTTGTTGCCTCTTTCTGCAAGGTAAAACCTAAGCTTACAAGATAATGTTTTCAACATTTGAACACCTTCATTCTATATATGATGTATGGTAGTAAATTTTATTCCAAAACCTATTAGATAGGATTGCTGTCTGTCTAGTCTCTAAAGAAGTTCCCAGTATGCTGAGCATGGAATCTTTTCCAGTGACACGAATTTTAAGAGCTGTTAGAGGAATTAATTCAAATGCATCTGGTCAAAATTGCTCGTGCCCATTATGTTTTTAACATTTCTTTCATTCCAGGTCCTGGTGCAGGGAGTAAACGACTTGGCTTACGGACAACTGCTGCTATCATATTTGGGCGATTAGTATTGGTTCCTCCTGCAGGGCTTGGCATTGTCACTGTTGCTGACAAGCTCGGACTTTTTCCCAGGGGTGATAAGATGTTCAAATTTGTCCTGCTGCTGCAGCACACAATGCCCACATCAGTCCTCTCTGGTATTAATTTTTTCAATTGTTAGTTCCTGATGGTGGAACTGTTGTCTATAGACCTGCTTTTACATGATCCAAGTGTAGTGGTAAAATTATGCGACACCTTTTTTCAGTTCACACCATGATCATGCAGGAACTTGTGGCCAATATAGCTTGGTTAGGGAAGTTTTGCCTTGTTGATCTTTCCTTTCACTTGTCTTTTTGGTTCCCTTAGATCTGACATTTGACTTAAAGGTCTTTTCGAAGTCATTATTAGTCGTAACTCTGGTAATCACTGGTTAGATACTTAGAAGCAATCATTTCCTCTTTTTTCAGCAGGATATTAAATTGAAGTATCCACATACTCTTCATGCTATATCTTCTCTATGTTGTTGCAAATCTGATGTAGGGGTTTTGGTACTTTCTTCATTTTTGTTACAGGTGCAGTTGCCAGTCTAAGAGGCTGCGGAAAGGAAGCCGCTTCTGTTCTATTCTGGGTTCACATTTTTGCTGTCTTCTCCATGGCTGGATGGATTATTCTTTATCTGCGCATACTTTTCTGAGCTTTGTATAATCTCACCAGAATGGTACAACTCTTCTTTGTTTCCCTATGTTTACACACGTGCTCACACACACACATGCACTGTTGAATCATCACAATTATAAGATGTGATTGACACGCTGGAAAAAATTCACTCAAATGCTGATCCATATCTTCTCTCCCTTCAGATCGGTGTACATATATTCTCGCTGGAGTAAGGCATTAATAGGATGATCGTGATTGCATCGTTTGCCGAAGCTGGTGCTTCTACTGAAGACAGTGGTTTTGCTATAAATGTGCAGTGACGTGGTGCCAAAAGCATTATCACCGTCTTCTTTACTTCTTTTTCCCTTGCTAGTATATGAGAGATCCAAAACGTTCTTACCGGTGATCCGCATACTCTTCCGAAGAGTCAGCCTATCCATCAGAGGATCCAGTTCAGATCTACCTCTTGCTCGAAAGAATTACCCACTTCATTTGTATTCCAAGAATGGAACAAGGCTTTCAGTTCGAGTATTTGTAACCACTGGGTAGATTCATCCAGCATCATAAAACACTTTCCTTGGAAACATTACAATTTGATTGTATTGAGATTAAATTGTAATAATGTTTCATGGCTGTTGAATCTTGCTTCTCCTGCAACGTGTGTAAAATGTTATGCTGGTGAATCGTCGGAATATTTTTTCTGAACATATTACTCAACATTATTTTTTTTTGCTGAAGGTTATGAGGACCTCTTGTCAACATATAACAGTTAAGAATTATTTAATTAGTTTATCCACAGCTCATGCTTTTTACATCTCAGTCGGCAAAGATATTAAAAGGATCTATTATATCTAATTAGAGATATTGGGTTAAAAATATGAAAGTGCTAAGTATTTGTTTGCACAAATTACAAGGCCAAGCTAATTAAGCCGATCGTAAATCACTATTACGGCTTCATTTACTCGGTAATGCTGCATCTCATGATTGGTTTTTTTTATATGGCATCCTTCATAAACTCGATTAATAGACGTTCTAATCCAATTAAAGTACATGATTTTGTTGTATCCTGAAAACACTCAAATCCATCGTTTCATCAACTTGATTAACTACGTGCGTATTTGGATTCACTCCAAACCTACTCATACTCATCACTATATCGTATTCTATTCCAACTAATGCATGTCGGGTTCTTCATCGAGCCATCAACAAAAATCCTACTCGACGCGCTTCAAGATTCGGACTCCCTGGCTTTGATTGCGGACCGAACGGTCCGACTAGATTCGAATCGACCGGAGCCGAACCGGATGACGGTCGGTGTCGCCGTCTACACGCATCCCAAAAATATCAGGAAAGTGATGTTCGCAATAAATCTTTGCAAACAAATACTCGATGGGGAGTAGAATCGTTCGCCGTTCTTTTCTGCACTCTTGTCGATTCTAGGGCTCGCTTCTCTACCGTGTCCACGGATTCGGTCATCGATTCCCTCGTGCGCAAGTTGGTGTCGATCTGCGCCGGCGAGCCGCGGGCCGGCGAGGGCGATCATGAGAGCGGTCTCGAGGTGCCTGGGGGCCTGCAGGCTGTTGCAATGCGGTGGGGCGTTGGGCGGCGGCGGCGGTCGAGTCGAGCGCTGTCTGATCCCCGCTTGTGTCGTGGATTCGAGAAGATGTCGTGGCGTTCGGGAGGACCGGATCGAGAGAGAATTTAGCGTGTTGAAGAGTCCGAATCCCCCTCTTCTTGCCGGCAGATTTCCGTTTGGAAATGTTGGTGGGGTGGATTTGGTCGCTAAAGGCAGCTGCTTTAGACGATGGAGTTGCTTCTTATCGGATTCTTCCCCGCCCATGGGCGGAAGACCTTCGAGAGATTTGGTATTTGGTTTCTTGTTGCTATTTGATTCTTTTCTTTCATTTTTTTTATAATTGTGCCATTATATATATATTTTTTACATTTTTAGAGTCTGTATCCAAGTAGATTATTGGTTTCCATTAATAGGTCTGGACTGCGAAGCATTTAGCTCTTGGTTTTGCTAGCGGCATGAACTGATAAAGATATATCATACATTGTTTTGTTCTAACAATGTAAGTATAATTATTCAGGACTTACTTTGTAAAGATTCACTATGGGCATGAGTGCTGCTTCAAGTAAAGAATCAGTCATTCATTTTCCTGAAGGCTCTATGTTCTGTGCCATAAGCATGTGTTGTTATTGGTGCTCCGTGTACACCTTGTTGGTGCCATATGCCTAAGCCTTGTGATCTGTTTCTGCGATAAGAAAGATTTTTTAAAAAGTATTTTTAACTATTCTGCAGTTACATTGTCCTCCTATTTATCATGCACATTGCATAGAATCTAGCCATTTGTTGATATATATCTGGTAACTACTTGCAGATAAAAAAAAATTATTTTTTAGCTTACTACAGGTAACCAATTAAGAAAAGAAGAGTAACATAAATTAGAGGAACATGTTGTAATTAATAATAAAAATCGGATATTGATTTTGACTGGGAAGATTAAGGGTTCACTGGATCCAACTATATCAATTTCTTATTATGATTTCCACATCTAGATCAGTGTTGCATTGATTACTGATGATATTATTTTCCAAACTTGTTAAAGATGTTCTATTTTGATATTAATCTAACCTTTTGTTATTAGACCATAAGGCTAACTTTAGATTAGCTTAAAGAACAACTTTGTGATGTTAAAAATTATATTTTCTCTTCAAAGGGACATTTGCATAAAGGGCATGCTTCATTCTCAACATCTGCTAATGAGACTGTCTCTAAACTGCCGGTCAATGGAGCTGGGATCAAGAAACAGAAAGACGTGGTAGAAAAATATTCACCAGATGAGCAAATTGCTGACATGACAATTCTTCGCACTCTTGCAAAGTACTTATGGCTGAAAGATAACTATGAGTTCCGTCTCAGAGTCCTGCTATCATTGGGTCTTCTTGTTGGTGCAAAGGTGCGAATTTTGTCACACTCGAAAGCTTTGATGTTCTTGTGCTTTTACAGAAAAATACCTGTTAATACACTGTGGTTTTCTTCTTGCATAACTGGTTTAGAGAGCTACTAATTACCATTGACAACTTTTGATTGTCAATTGCATCATCATTTATGGAATTGTCCTTTTCTTCTCTTCAATCATCCTTTAGATTTAGGTTCTTTTTTATCTTTTTTTTTCTAAACAGACCAATCATTTTTCATGATTTCTGGTGAATCTCATAGAAAAATCACTTTTTTAATGGATTTGATTGAGATCTATTGTATTAGTTTGTCTGACATTCTGAAATTTATATTAGGTGATAAATGTTCAAGTACCTTTCTTGTTCAAGCTTGCTGTGGATTGGCTTTCTGTAGCTGCTGGCTCTGTTAATTCATTAGCATCATTCACAGAGACTAATGCCACTCTTCTGGCTCTTTTTGGGAGTCCAGCAGCTGTTCTACTTGGATATGGCATAGCACGTACTGGGGCATCAGCCTGCAATGGTATTCTGTGAGACATAGCTCTATTTTCAGTCAGAATTTGTTTGTGATAACTTCTCACCCATTCCTGATTATTTTGGCCATTTTTTATATTTCTTCTTTGATACTGTTGGCATTCATTCTTGTGTTATATGATCTTACTAAACCATAATATTTTTGTTTGATTTTATAAAATATAGAGTTGCGGAATGCTGTATTTTCCAAGGTAGCCTTGAGAACTATCCGTGTTGTTTCTAGAAAGGTAATTTACTTTTTTTATCTTTCTCGTTTGAGCAATCCAGCACTGTATACTTTTGTTTTCTCGGGGACATCATTATCTTATTTTCAATATTTTTGGTTCATGGCTACAGCCATCTGTAGTAATAGAATTATGGTATCATCATAGTTCATATTTTTTGCTGCACTAGCTTTTCACAAATGAAAAGCTAGAGCAAACAATTGCTGAACGGATTACATCCTCATGTGCAACATTTTGATGTCATTGTATAGTGATGTCATTCTGCTTCACATGTCATTATGCCTAGGGAAAAAAGTTTTTCCTATCTAATTATTCAAAAATTGTGTTTTATTTTGTTTGCATGATTTGCGGTTTTTCTGAATGTTATATAACTGGGTTGGAGAACAATCTCATAGCATGCCCATTGTAGATGTTTATAATTAGTTTTCTATTTGTTCTCTACCTAACCTTATAGTTGGAATATCATGACTTGTTGTGATCTCTACCAAACCTTCTTGTAGTAAATTGTTCATGTGGAAATCCACACTAATAAAGGATTGAACGAGAGGTGATGTTTGGGCAAGGATCCATAAATTCTTCCATATACATACCAGCCAGTGACAAGAACACCCCACACCAGGTACTTTACCATGTAAATCTTTCAAGGACGAGTGCACTTGTAACCCATATACAAACATGGCAAGATTGAATATATGTGGGGTGGTTTGGTGTTGTTAAATACCTAAAGACCTGTTGTGTGTTACTTTGTGTTCAAACGTTCTTGAATGGTGTTTATAGAAGATGAGTATCATTAGATGTTGAGGTATCTATGCTGATTATTAATCAGTACAGGGACTTAAGTTCTAGTGGCACAGGTGATTTTGGCTGGTAGCCAAAATGGCACATTCCTACATGTTGTGTGTTATATCAAGTGGTAGCTTGGTTGGCATGCTGATGAAACAAAAAAAAAAAAAAAATGAAAAAAGGGAAAAAAAAGACAACTTTGTGACAACAGCAACCAAAACCCTTTGGTGGAGCAAAAAAATATAGGCATGCAACTTTTTCCCTCTTCCATATTTCTCTCCTCCCTGCAGCATCCTCTGGCCAAGGAAGAGGCCATCACTGTCATTTGTTCCCTCCCTGTCTGAACTAATATTTGGCACCATCAGGTCCTAAGTGAATAAGAATAGATTGAGGTGATGTTTTAAGCCATGGATCAGTTAATTTTGGGCTGCTTCATCCCTTTGGCTGGTCCAGCTTAAAAACATGCTAAAAACATCTGAAAACATCAGGTCCTATGGATTTGGTGCCATCAGGTCCTAAGTGAATAAGAATAGACTGAGGTGATGTTTTAAGCCATGGATCAGTTAATTTTGGTTTGGTTCTCGATCCATTTGGCTGGTCCAGCTTAAAAACATGCTAAAAACATCTAAACATGTCTCATGTGGCCTTTTGTTTGCTAACTGGAACAAGTGGCATAGAGGTTTATGGATTTATATTCATGAAAGTTGTATCTTAGTGGTACTAATTTACACAGATAGTTGGGACTTTGGACATTCTTACGGTTGCAACGAAATGAAATATTGGAAGGAAAAAACATCAGCAAGACCCAGAAAAAGCCAAACACACACACACACACACAAGAATCATTAAAGGAAAAAAAAAGAAACATGCACCTGATAGAATTACTGCAGACAGAGTGGTAAACTTTACCGGTTGGTGGAGATTTTATTCAACATTGTTTGTCAGAACATAAATGAATAAACTGCAATACCTTAGGTCTCTTTGATATAGTTTTGTTAAATATTTTGTTTGTTGCAGTAAGAAATTTTTTGTATTTATAAATTGCATGGTATCTATCATCTGATTTTTGACAATGAGTTTTGAGAACTGATCTTATGATTTTTTATAGTGTTATAACTTCTTTTGTAGGTCTTTGCACATTTGCATGATCTTGATCTTCGTTATCATCTGAGGTATTGTCAAAAACCTCGACATCTTTGTCTATGTAGAGTAGCTTGTTAATGTTGCTGTTGGTGACTTAATCTGCTTGTGCACTTCAGTCTTGGTGTATAGAGATGCATTTAGGTACAGTGTCTTATGTAATTGACTTTGATTTTCATGCAGTATCGCTCTGACTTCCATATTGACTGGTCTCTTTAGATTAGGTGGCCTGAATATGATCAGAGGGATGTTTGGATGAACGAAGGATTAAAAACCACATCTTAGGTTTGTGTCCCTATGTTGGCATGGGATGTAATTCTCATGGCATGAGTACCATGTTAATTAAGATCCAACTATTGCATGCTGTGCTTTTACTGGTAGTCTATTTCTGTGCCACGATGTTGCTACCTGCCTAATTGTGAACCGGAGTTTGTGTGTGTGCGTGTGTGTGCCAGTTTTGTATTAACCTTGTCATGGAATTGCACCATGCACAAGCATCTTGAGTCCATGTAACTGGCAAGCTCAAAAAATGAAATTAATGTTGACAATAGCAAAACTAACCAACCCAAACTTTTTTAGAATTCATTTTGTGTTAGGCAATATGCTGAGGATGACTTTTTCGATATTCAGAATACAGACCAAATTAATCTGAGGTTCTGAACATGAAAAATGCCTAATTACATTGAAATTATCTTTTCCCTAATTTTCAGTCACCAGAACCAATAACAAACAGTTAATACTTAACATAGTTTGGTCATGATTTGGCAATATGCTGATTTCTGGCATTTCTGCTGTTGGAATTTACTCCCTGTGGAAAAGAATTCTTTTAGTTTTAGTATATTTTAACTTGTTAGTGGTTGATGAGCTTAAACTATAACCATAAAGGCAAAATTTTCCTAGCCACTAACTAGCCTTACATGTTTTATGATGGTTACTCTTTGCTCAAGTTTGCCTTATCTGTAGTTTTGGCACCGTCTCTGGAGTGTTAATATTTTTGTGATAGTCTTTGTTAAATTCTTCAAATAGATGGAGCATTCTCAGATCTAAATTGTTGTCTTGTTGACATCATGTTTCTGTTATTGATGATGTTGCTTTTGGTTTATTTTGAAGTTCATTATGGAAACTATGTTATCAATTGTATAGACAGAATTGATTGAAACAAGGAAACTAAGAGTGACTGTTTCTCAGCTGGTCAGCCACTCAAAATTAAAAGCCTTCTTGGATTGGCTGATCCTCATTCATTATTATGTAGACATCGACTAGGATTTGTTGATCTTGATTGAAATTGACTCTCTTCACTCTATGCATTGCCATCAATCAATGCCAAGGAGGTTGAGGTGGAGGAAAAGAAAGAATGGGGAATAGGACTAAGATCAATTTTTGCCTTACCGCAGGGTATATAGTTTCTGCCCAGTCTCTTCCCCTATTCTCTTGCTGGATGCTTGTTATGAAGTTGTTTGTAGGAAACTTCTTACATCGATTTGGTTTCTAGGGTCTTAAGCTGTCCAGTTTGGGAACACTCCTGCAATTCTACTTTGTTACTGAATATGTTAATTTTTTGACCTATACATTTCTTTTAGTTTGGAACTTACTGATTTTTCCTTTCTTTTATTTTTCTCATTTGATTTTATTTCCAGCCGGCAAACTGGTGCTTTGAATCGCATAATTGATAGAGGAAGCCGTGCAATAAATTTTATACTCTCATCAATGGTGTTCAATGTTGCACCGACCATATTAGAGGTATGAGCTAGTGATTGTTTGAGATTAGCCACTGTTCTTTCTGAAATTTGAGAAATGTATTTTTGTCTTGCTAAATTATGAGACATAGGAGAATTCTATTCCTATTGTTTCTCTTTTTTCTCAGTTTCTCCAACTGTCTTAAAGAATTAAACCTTTGATTCTGTGCACAGCAGTGCTGCTATGTTTTCTGTTTGTCTCATGTGCCTCACATCTTAACTGTTTGTTCTTTTTCAAGATTGCGATGGTGTCTGGCATACTGGCATACAAATTTGGAGCTACTTTTGCTTGGATTACTTCCCTCTCTGTGGCTGCATACGTTGCTTTTACTCTGATTGTGACACAGGTATTGTTGAGATAAAACCATTTTAAGTCTTTTTTGTGTCTATTGTTATATTTATAATTTGTTTCTTTATTATAATAATCTGAATATGTTTGTTTTTGTATGTTAAGCTGTTTGTTCATGCATAGTTGTTTCTGTTGGAAAATTTGGACCTTTCATTTTTTTAAGCATCTCCAGTAAACAGTTTTTCTTTAATTGCAGTGGCGAACCAAATTTAGGCAGGCTATGAATAAAGCTGATAATGATGCAAGCACGAGAGCAATCGACTCATTGTTGAATTATGAGGTAAGTCAATAGATATTTGTTTGCTTCTGTGTGTCATTTTTCTCCTATTTGTTATTATTGGTTCTAATTTTTCTAAATTTCCAGACGGTCAAGTATTTCAACAATGAGTCATTTGAAGTTGCAAAGTACGATACATATTTGCAGAGTGAGTTAAGATATTCGATTTCTTATTTAAACATGGTCTTTAAGATTAGGAAATACTTTGTGTTGGCTTTATACTTTGTGATTTTGCAACTTGTCTTTCTGCAAAAGATATTTGTGTAAGTTTTATTGGTCTTCCTTTTGATTCAATTTAATATTTATGGTTAAGGATGATGGAACTCAAATGAGGTCAAAAGAATAGTTTTAATCAAGGTTCGTAATACCGTACCGTACCGGTGTTTCGACTTGGGCTCGGTACTGGTATGGTACGGTGTACCGAGCGGTATACTCAGGTGTGCCGAGTACTGTAGCACTGCTACAGTGCTACAGTACACTCGGACCGGTAACAAGCAGTCCGTGTGTACCGGCAACCTGTCGGACCGGTACGTACCGCCTGTACCGGGCTGTCACAGACAAACTTCTAAACAAGATGTTGGATGTAATGCTTATGTATGTCCGTGTCTTTTGGCATGTTCATACCTTGTACAGCATGTAGAGGAGTGGCCGAAGGCTTAATAGTCCTATTTTAGTTGGGTTGGTGGCCTCTTTATGCTTGTAAATAAAGGTTGTGTCATGTGGACACGTGCAAGAGATTTTCGGTCTGTAATGGACCATTTTACCCTTTGTTGTGTAACTGTTCAGAGCTTGTAAAGTCTGTTTGTAATTTGCATTGTCTATGAAGTGTTTTTCGAAGATGTTTGCTTGTGGATCCCAATTGAGGCGTTCTCTCTTTTGTTGGTCCTAAGCAGGGTCTGCCATACCGAGCCGTACCGCCCGGTACGGGCGGTACGTACCGGTCCGACAGGTTTTCGGTACGCGGACCGACTATTACCGGTCCGAGGCACTGTAGCACCC